AAATTTATACCGTGTCCATATCAGAAGAATTCATTGGCATATTATAAGCATATTATAAATATCAGAGCCAGAACAGAAACGTACGCGTGAAGTGAAACTACGCCCGAACCTGCGAACTCCGAGAAAATAAAAATATTTCAAAGCGTACAGTCATACGTTATCGTTGCTTAATTTCCTGAATTTTCTGTTGCTATAAGAATCTGCATTTTAGCATGTTTCAATAATTTAAAAGCAAACAGAAACCAATTTAGCAAGTAGTTTGAGGTATATATGATTCTCGAAGATGAATTAGATGATTGTACAGAACGGCCACTCCTTGCAATCGAAGTGCGAAGTGCGGAAGTGGAAACATGTAATACGAGACTTTTCCATCCCCCCTTCGGCTATCAATTTTGTATGTGTGACGTCATCAGCCCCGACCAGGGTCTTTGCTTCCTAAGAGCAAAGAGCCTGGGAACGAGGTTGGGTGAAACAAAGGGAAATTTTTGAATTTACGATTAAAAGTATACATCAAACGCAGTCAAAGCAACGTCATTTTACTAGTCTGAATATGGCAAATGTCGATAGTGCATTTTTGGCAAGCATTTGAATGGTTTCATCATTTAATACCCAGTGGAAACGAAATGATTCGCAATTTTAGACAAACAAATGATTGACTAATGGCATTGAGAATACTATTATGAAACTATGAAAGTAATGATTATTCCACATGTTGCCGTTATAGTTGTACCTGTATATTGAGTTGTAAGTGTTGATGTTTATGTACTTCTCAATTTAACATTTTCATTGGTGACTTAGTTAATATAAATTAGTTGAATGAAACCAGTAGAAGGCTATATAATTTCGTAAGGTTACATAATCTTTTTATCAATGATCATAACTATAGACAAATTGGTGTCTGCTTTCATTACAGACAAGCAGACTTTAATAGATCATTTTTAAACAAATTTAGCAAACTAAGTCACACATATTGTAAATATTTCTCTTAAAGCACTTTATAGCAGTATGTGCATTGAATAATTGCTTTCATTAAAGCAAAGCCAAAGTAATAGTGGCTGCATAAGGAGCAGAGATTCAGCTTTAGATTGGAATATCAATACTTATAGTGACAGTTGCAACCAGTCATAATTATCAACTTGCAATATATAACTATTTATCACATACTTGTACCTTTATCAGGTAGCAAGCAGCGGGACATAAAAACGATATCGTCCCGGATATCGTTTTTGTCCCGGATATCGTTTTTTGTCCCGCTAAATTTCGCGCCTTGTCAAAACAAAGATGGCCGACTCGAGGTTCGTGTTTGTTGATGTGGACAGTTTATCGAAGAAAACAAGAACGATAATACAAAATGAAAGACTTAAATTGTATATTATTTATATGAATGGTCTATTTATTTTCTAAAATCATATTTGTTCAGTAAATGATGAATTGTTTTGAATTCTAAAATTATCCTATTTTTTCAAAACTGTTTACTTTTGGTTGTCAAACCCTGTGATATCATCCCTCGAGCGATAAAACTGATATCACCTGATCCCTTATATGCTAACCTATATATATCCTGCAGGGGGTGCTCCCTTCTTCATCCACCCTGATTTCTGCAACTGAATGTCAAGAACACCAGACTTGCAAGCAATTTATATCCCCCTTCCCCTATCCCATACTATATTGTCTTATAATCAACAACAACCATAGTTCATAATCGGATCTTACTTATAGCACACAATGTACAAAACTAACATAATATTCTGTTTAGTGGATTTTCTTCCACGACAAAATATTATTGCATGGATCCGGTATGCTGAATTATATCATTCTATTCAAGAACTATATGCATCGATTATACTTCTAATTTCCATACTTGTCATCATCTGTAATAATTGTTACTGATGAATGACTTTCAATATATGACCTATTTGATATATTTACTAGGCATAAACAGTTGATTTGTGTGCCATCAACCCTGACTATGAGTCTATGACATTTTCTAAAATGAAATAGATCAATTATAAACAGCAGAAATGTTGATGTTATGTATCAATTATAGTATAAAAAGGCTTTCTCTGCAAATGTATATTGGCACCACCTGTTATCCTGACAACTTCTATGCATCTACCATGTTCTCGCATGCCTTCTAAAGTTTATTATGAACTATCAAGAAGATTTGGAATCCGAAATGTTTTAACGAGCTGGCCAGTATAAATTTTACAACTTATCGGCTTCAGCCGCAGAAAGGAAAAGATAAGGCCATTCTTCCCAGAAATTGACCAGTCTGAGGCAGCTAAGGACAGGAGGACCCAGTTGTGACTGGCTATAAAAAGTTTGTTGTTGAATTTAGAGTCTCTAAAACGGTATTTCTTGCAGTTTGACTTAACCTTGTGACAGAATTGTCTTTATCAATGGGTTCACTACATATTACCAATCACGCTCGTTCCAAACATATGTAAAAAAATAGGTACGCTACGCGTACATGTATCTGCGCAAAGCTGGAGTCACATTTAGTATTTTCTTGAAAGGAAATGAATAATAATAATAATATTTAATATTTATATTGCACAAATTAACATGTTATAGTATATGATCAAATGCGCATCACAACATAATTACACTAAAATGATTCTAAAAAATATAAACAAGATTATATAGATTATATGTTATATGAAGTATTTACATTAAAGGCTTCTTGAAAATAATAAGTTTTAACTACATGTAATTTCTTGAAAATACTAAAGTTATGCAGATTTCTTATATACATAGGTAATTCATTCCAGATTTTTGGAGTTGAGGTTACGAATGCTCTGTCGCCAAGTGTTTTCTTTGTTTTTGTACTGTAGTCTTCAAGCAATGTGCCTTCGTTAGATCTTAGACTATAGCATGATGTACAGTATTTCTTACTTGCATACTGATGGATACATTTAAAAGCAAGCATAGCAATTTTGAACTTGATCCTTAATTGAACAGGAAGCCTGTGTAATTTGATGAGAGTCGGGGTGATGTGATCATGTTTAGGGATAGAACAGATAAGACTTGCTGCTGTATTTTGTAGCTGTTGTAGTTTAGACAGATGTACATCTGTAACACCAATGAACAATTGAAATATATATTTCATCACTTATATAATAGCAAATTAGATATTAAGATCAAGCACAATACACATCTACCAGGGCTGTTAAACAGGGGAAAGAGAATTTAACATACTAATTTCACAATGTCATTTTGATCATAACGAATAATCATGCAGTCACGAAATACAAATTCCATTCAAACAATACTGCACTTGCACAAAATACAATACTTTTAAAATTAATATCACTAGCATATATTATATACAGTAGAACAAAGTTTTCAGGTCTAGTTTTCATATTGAATGAAATAGCTGCTATAAATTCCACTTGCAGTAGTATTTCAGATTATTACCATAACAGTAACAAAGGTTTCCTTAATAGGT